GAACCTGGAGGTTTTGTTGAGCTATCATGACCAATAGCCATCAAGAGTTCTGTTCTGCCAAGTATTCATCTACCCCCCCCGAAAGACCACCTAAGCCAGTGGCCACCACCATGACATCTTGCAGCATTCCATGCCTTACATCTTGTGTTGTGGGAACATCCTCTTTTGCCTCTCCTGAATATATGCCAATTTAGTCAGTTAACCCCAAATTCTAGTGTTATAGAAGAGGAAGAAGAATTTCTCTCTAGAAGAAGAGGAGATCGGATTTATACCCCGCCCTTCACTTGGAGCCCCAGAGCAGCTTACACACTTCTTTCCTTTCTCCACACCCTGTGAGGTAGGTGGGGCTGAGAGAGCTCTGACAGGAACTGCTCTTTTTCAAGGACAGCTCTGACAGAACTACGGCTTGCCGAAGGTCACCCAGCAGCTGCAAGTGGAGGAGTGGGGAATCAAACCCGGTTCTCCCAGACTGGAGTCCGTGCACTTAACCACGACACCAAACTGGCTCTCTCCATTTGCTCCAGACTATGCAGTTTCGAAAAATGTCGATTGTATCACCTCCCCCTTGGTGGTCTCCCCTGAGCCACAAAAGTAGTTCCAGGTGGGTAGCCATGTTGGTCTGGAGTAGAAGATATAGATTCGAATCCAGTAGCACCTTAGAGGCCAATGTTAAAAAAACAAAAACAAGATTTTCAGGGCGTAGGCTTTTGAGACTCAAAGCTCCCTTCGTGATCTGTCAAAGAGAGCTGTGGCTCTCGGAAGCTTACACCCTGGAGATCGTGTTGGTCTCTGATACTGGACCTGAAGCTTGCTCTCCTTGCCCCCAGAAGAAGAAATCCCAGATTTTTCAGCCTTTCCTTGAATTGAAAGGGCTCCAGTCCCTTGATCGCACTGTGGCATGCTGATGGCCCGAATGAACTAACCATCATCCTGTCTGCAAAATTATCCCAGGCTCGCTCACCTCAAGGCGACCGTAACTGGTACCAGGCGATCAGAGAGGTGGTTATCCGCCATCTTACTTTGAATATAGCTTACTTTGAAAATTAAAAAGCAACCAAAAGCAGAGTACATTTATTCCAATATCGCTAAACCTAACTCAAGCCATCAGTTTGGACATCTGTATTCACAAGTTGAGTTAATTGACAAGTTCAGGACAATGGGCCCCCAGGTCTGAATAGGGACCGAGGATTCTTGTCTCACTACAGATGCTAATTTTCTGACCCCGAGCATTTCCTCTCTGCTCCAGTCAAGCTGATTACAACAGGCATTGTACCTCTGCACCTTTTACAAGCATTCTTTACAACACCCCTCCCACCTTCTGACTGGGATAAAAGAACTCAACGATCTCCACTTCAGCTCCAGTAGTGTCTGACGAAGGGGGCTTTGACTCCCAGAATTTTATACCCTGAAACTTCTGTTGGTCTCTAAGGTGCTATTGGGCTGGAATCTCACCTCTGCATTGTCAACCAGATCATCCAAATTGTATCTACAACAGAACCTGCTTAACAATTCGGTAGTAGTTGGTGGCAATAAAAAGATACTTGCTATATATCCACAAAGTCCTTCTGTTAACCACATCTTTGATGCATCCAAACAACGATGGAGTTTGATTTAGATCTTCCTTAGTATCAGTCCCTGAATTAGGGCAACTAGCTCGAGTAACTGAGACTGAATCCATCTAAGACGGAGGTTCTGTGGCTGGGGAAGGGGGATTCAGGCTTGGGGTGCCAACTCCTGGCTCTGGATGGTGTGCCACTAACACCGGCGTCCACCTTTAAGAGCCTGGGTGTGTTTCTGGATGCCTCCTTGCTGATGGAGGCCCAGATCACAAATGTTCCAGACTGGTGTTTCTTCAGCTTTGCCAGGTCAGGCAACTGGCCCCCTTCCTGTCTCGCCTCGACTTAGCTACAATAATCCATGCAACAGTCACCTCTGGGTTAGACTACTGTAACTCAGTCGACGCAGGGCGACCCTTGAAACTGACCCGGGAGCTTCAACTGGGCTGCGGTCACACACGCTAAATAACCCACTTTCAACTGGATTTTTACTGTGCGAACTGGCGCGTGTGACCACAGCCCGGATCCAGAATGCAGTGGCACGGGTTCTAACGGAACCCCATCGACAGCACATATCCGATTGGTGCTCTGCCAACTGCACTGGTTCCAAGGTGAATACCGGATCAGGTCCAAGGTTCTACTGGGCTATTTAGCGCGTGTGACCACAGCCCGGGTCCAGAATGCAGTGGCACGGGTTCTAGTGGAACCCCATCGACAGCACATGTCCAATGGGTGCTCTGCCAACTGCACTGGTTCCAGGGTGAATACCGGATCAGGTCCAAGGTTCTGGTATTAACCTTTAAGGCCCTTAAATGGTCTGGGACCAAGATACCTTCAAGACCGCATCTCCTGGTACGTCCCCTGAAGGGCATTATGCTCAGCTGAGAAAAATCTTCTGGCGATCCCCAGCCCGGGGAGATATCCGGCTGTCCTCGACCAGAGCCGGGGCCGAAAAAGCCCGGCTCCGACAGCAACAGTTTTTTTAATCAACAGTGCTTATTAGAATAATTGGTTTCTAGGTGCCTTTTGGAGTGATCATTGTCTTTTAAAAATGTATTTAATCATTTAAATTGTATTTTAATGTTGTCCACTGCCCTGAGCCCCAAGTATTAGGGGAAGGCAGTCTAAAAATCGAATGTATGAAGAAAGAAGAAGAAGAGAAGAGAAGAGATTGGATTTATACCCTGCCCTTCACTTGGAGTCTCAGAGTGGCTTACAAACTCCTTTCCCTTCCCCTCCCCACAACAGACACCCTGAGGTAGGTGGGGCTGAGAGAGCTCTCTCGAGAATTGCCCTTGAGAGAACAGCTCTGAGAGAACTTGTGACTGACCCAAGGTCACATCAGCAGGTGCAAGTGGAGGAGTGGGGAATCAAACCTGGTTCTCCCAGATTAGAGTCTGCACAGAAGAAGAAGAAGAGGAGGAGGAGATTAGATTTACTTCAACCTTCACCACCCAAGGGAGTCTCAGAGCGGCTTACAATCCCTTTTCCTTCCCCTCCCCACAACAGACACCCTGAGGTAGGTGGGGCTGAGAGAGCTCTCTCGAGAATTGCCCTTGAGAGAACAGCTCTGAGAGAACTTGTGACTGACCCAAGGTCACACCAGCAGTTGCATGCGGAGGAGTGGGGAATCAAACCCGGTTCTCCCAGATTAGAGTCTGCGCTCCTAACCGCTACACCAAACTGGTGTATCTATACTTATAAATAGATATAAATATAAACTTCTTCCCCCCTTTTCCTGCGTTCCCGTCTCCAGATCACTAGGTTCTCAGACTTGCCGAAGTGGGACTCGCTCCTTGAACGTGCCCTGCTTGCAAGGATCCGGACACAAAGTTGCTCCCTTCCCCGACATAAAGCAACAGTGTGGTGTAATGGTTAGATTCTTGGACTAGGCTCCGGGAGTTCTGGGATCCGATCCCCACTCCGACAAGCAAGCTCGCTGGGTAACCTCGGGCCAGTCATGCACTGTCAGCCTGCCCTACCTCACAGGGTTGTTGTGAGGATAAAATGGAGGAGAGGAGAACGAGGCAAGCCGTTTTGGGTCTCCAGTGGGAAGAATGCCGGGGTATAAAGGAAGGAAATGAATAAACAAATCAGTTAACCCTGAATAAGTTATTTTTTCAGGTTGGGTGGTTATAAATGGACTGGAAGCAGCAGCAGAAGCAGCAGCAGAAGAAATTGGATTTATACCCCGCTCTTCACTACCCAAAGGAGAGCAGCTTACAATCTCCGTTCCCTTCTCCTCCCCACAACAGATACCTTGTGAGGTAGGTGGGGCTGAGAGAGCTCTTTTGAGAACCGCTCCGGAGAGAACAGCTCCGAGAGAACTTGTGACTTGAACCAAGGTCACACCAGCAGCTGCATGTGGAGGAGTGGGGAACCAAACCCGGTTCTCCCCGATTAGAGTCCGGGCTCTTAACCACCACACCAAACCACTACACCAAGCTGGCTCTCTTAAAACAGGCTCTGTTTTCGTGGGCGTTTCACACATTACACAAAGGCGATCCCACATTTGCCCCGTGTTCTTTCCCCTCCCCCCTGGCCTCCTGACCCACCTACGAGAGAGTTTCGACCCACTTCTGGGTCCCAACCTACTTTTTGAGAATGACCGTTGTAGCCTGATCGTGTCTCTTTCCCCAGCCTTCTCTAAGCCTTTTCCTTTTTTGCTGTGCTTTACCCCGACACACCAACGTTACTCGTTCTTATGGGCACTGGATGTTTTAAATACCATCCCCATAGCAGAATGCGCTTCAGATTGTATCTGTAAAACGAGGGACCTGCGCAAGACAGGATAGCGCTCACACAGACACACACAGACACACCAGTGTTCCCTCTAAGCTGAGTGTGTGAGCTAGCTCACAGTTTTTTAGCCTCCGGCTCACACATTTTTGTCTTAGCTCAGGAAGGGTGGCTCCAGAGCAGACTAATTTATGCAGCAGCCAAATCACTTGCTCACAACTTAATGCCAATAGCTCACAACATAGAATTTTTGCTCACAAGACTCCACGGCTTAGAGCCAAATGGCTCGCTCACAACTTTAATGCCGGTAGCTCACGCAGTAGAATTTTTGCTCACAAGACTCCACAGCTTAGAGGGAACATTCACACACACACCTCCCGGCTGTCCCGAAAAGATCGCAACCCTACCTGTTTCCAGATAATTAGTATCTGTGGTGAGATAAGAGTCCCTCCCGCAGTGCCTGGCTCCCAGACACTCTTCTTTCCAAACTGCTACTCCGTCCTGTGGCGGTCAGACAGACTTCTTGGTTTACTTTGGCACTGACGTCAGAGTCCTTTTTCGAGCATCCAGAAACTTTGGCGAAAGGCAGGAAGGGAGGTCTAAAAATGAACTGCTGCGGAGCTCTCTATCTGGGACCCGGGGGGGAGAAGCGGCTTGTCCAATATCGGAGGCCTGTCTTTTATTACACAGTGCTCTTTCTTCTGCTTGGAATTAGAGGGTGGCTTACTGGGGGTGGGCATCTGATCCAGGCACTGACCGGGCTGAGACCTGCTTAGCTTTAAGAAGGTCCCCGCGTCATGTGCTCATTCTATAGGAATGGCATGGATAATAGCAAAAAGGAAAGGAAAGGGGGAAAAAAATAGCAGTGAGCTGAACAGGGGCACGGGAAGGTCATTCAAAGGAGCAAGGGTCTTGAGAACTTTCCCCATGAAGAAACTCTGCTTTTCAGCTTGGGGGGAGGGAAGGACTAAGCAGAACAGGGAAGAGATCCTGTAAAGTTACATATGGGGTAGAAAATGTTGCCCTCAACTGGATGCCCAGGGTAGCTCGATATTGTCAGATCTCAGATGCTAAGCAGGGTCGGCCCTATTTAGGACTTGGATGGGAGACTACGAAGGAAGTTGAAAAGTACTGAGACTGACGCGGTGATTTCAGCTCATACTTTTATTCTGAGTGAAGAACAAGACAAACTCTACCGGCTTGCAGCCCGGCTTATATTCCCAGTAAGCCTCACACCCAAAACATACCCCACACCAGTGATAGGTTATTTACAGTTCACTGGGGTGAAGCTCGGCTGCGCTAGGATCCTACCCCTCAGATAGGAGTGGGCTAGGATCCGCTCGGGCCATTGTTCACTGGGGTGAAGCTCGGCTGCTTCGCATGACCGCATGAAGGCCTGCCCTCGCACGTGGTCGAACTTCAATACATAACAGAAGTCCATGCTTTTGTTGTTCTAGTTGTTGTTCAGTCGCACAGTTGAGTCCAGCTCTTCGCGACTCCATGGACCACATCACGCCAGGCCCACCTGCCTTCCGTCGTGCTCTGGAGTTTGCTCAATTTCATGTTCGTTGCATCTATGACACTGTCTAACCACCTCATCCTTTGCCGTCCCCTTCTCCTTTTCCCTTCATTCTTTCCCAGCATCAGGGTCTTCTCCCGCGAGTGCTCCCTTCTCATTGGGTGGCCAAAGTATTTGAGCTTCAGCCTCAGTGTCTGGCCTTCCAGGGAACAGTCAGGGCTGATTTCTTTTAGGATTGACTGATTTGATCTCCTTGGAGTCCAAGGGACTCTCAAGAGTCTTCTCCAGCACCATAGTTCAAAAGAATCTATTCTTCGGCGCTCGGTCTTCCTTATAGTCCAACTCTCACAGTCCATGCTACACAGAGGCAAAGCAATGGCAGACCAACTCTGTTCATCTCTTGTTTTGAAGGACCTGTGGGGTCTCCACTCTGACCTGGACGGCCCAGGCTAACTCGATCTCATCAGACCTCGGAAGCTAAGCAGGGTCGGCTCTGGTTAGGACTTGGATGGGAGACCACCAAGGAAGTCGAGAGGCAGGCAATGGCAAGCCACCTCTGAACGTTGCATTGAAAACCCGGGGGGGTGGTGGTGGCAGAAGTTGGCTGTGACTTAAGGGCGCTTTCTACCACCGGAGAACATGGAGCGATGCGTTTTTCTCCCTTTGTTCTAGTAGAATGTTTTCCAGCAACACTGACTGACATCGGATTCATGGCAGAGAAAATAAAGGGACTTCTTCATAACACCGACGGGCAGAGCTCAGTGCCCCAAGGTGGGGTCATGATGACCAGTGGCTTTGATATCTTTTAGAAGAAGGAGAAGAAGAGGAGATTGGATTTATACCCCACCCTTCACTACCCAAAGGAGTCTCAGAGTGGCTTACAAACTCCTTTCCCTTCCCCTCCTGAAATATACTGGGTTCAGACACATAGAGCCAAAGACTCATGTTTATTAAGTGGTTTCAGCTCCAAAAACGAAGACAAACTTGCAGGTTCAGAGCCCTGCTTATATTAATGAAACGCACCACACCCAACACCCCCCCCCCAACATCCCACGATAGGCTATTTACAGAGTATTGTTTACCAATTGGGTACTACTAGGATCCGGATCCAGGGGTCATTTCATAGAAAAAGAGGTGCAGGAGCTCATTAGCATAGCTCATTAGCATAACTCATTTGCATATGCCACACCCCCTGACATCACCGGAAGTGTGTCAGAAGGCAACACCCAAGGTTTATAAGATTATGCATGGGAAAGAGCAGGTAGAGAAAGAGGTACTTTTCTCCCTTTCTCACAATACAAGAACTCGTGGGCACGCCATGAAAGCTTGTAGCGGTTGGGTTAGAACGGATAAGAGGAAGTACTTTTTCACCCAAAGAGTGATTAACACTTGGAATTCACTGCCACAGGAAGTGGTGGCGGCTACAAGCATGGACGGCTTCAAAAGGGAATTAGATAAGCATATGGAGCAGAGGTCCATCAGTGGCTATTAGCCACAAGGTATAGATAGGGGCTCTGGGGCAAGTGATGCTCTGTCTTCTTGGTGCTTGGGGGGGTCAACAGTGGGAGGGCTTCTAATGTCCTGGCCCCACTGCTGGACCTCCTGATGGCACTGGTATTTCTGGCCACTGTGTGACACAGAGTGTTGGACTGGATGGGCCTTTGGCCTGATCCAACATTGGCGTCTCTTATGTTCTTATGTTCTTAAACCACTAGGCCATTCAGGTTTGACCCAGAGCATATCACTGATGAATATACAGTGGAGGTGAACAATAGGTTTGACTAGATTTGATAGACAGAGTGCCTGAAGAAGTATGGATGGAGGTTTATGACATTGTACAGGAGGCAGCAATCA